TTTTGGTCATTTCGACGAATCATCTCATGAAATTTCGCCCTTTCACGGCATTCAAAACCAGGACACTTTACATGATTTAATAATAACTCCTTAAGCATTGCATAGGGAAGTGAGATAGGTTTTTCTGGATATGCCAAGGTTTTCAATAAGCTGTACGCTTCTTTTCCGATGAATGTTAGGAAATGAGCCACAATTTTATCATCTTTAACATCTTTCTTGGTCATAATCCAGGTTTCAAACCTTTCCAAATAATCTTCGAAAGCTTCAAAAGTAGAATGAATATCTAACTGTTCCATTACAAGTTCCATCGCGACGCCAGTGTAATAATTAGAAGTATATGTATCAAGAATTAAAGATATGCACAAACGAATGTACTGTATTTAGAATTCGAAATCAAGCATTCAACAACAACAAGAAGTTACTAGTTCATTCAAACACCGCAATAACTTTTCCTATTTATTACATTTATTTTAATTCTTATCAAAACTGTATATGAGGTTCACCATGTGAATGTATTCATAAGAATATATTGCACTTTGCTTCCGTTTCTCAGTGATATAACTCTCGAACGTAGGTTTATTAAGTGATATACTCGTAATAATTCTTTTTCATGACAAGATTAGAACATCTTCTCTATTGTGAATCAGAAATTCACTGTTCATTTTTCCAAATCTGTATATTGGACTCATTAAAATAGAGGAAGATAATAAACGATTCAGAATGTGCATTTTACGCTTCGAATTTAAGCAGAGGTTTTTCAGTCTTATCAGAATAAGAAATCATATTTCTTGTCTAACGTTTATTTTACACAAATAACTGTTACTATTATTTTCCTACAGATAAATTTTATCGATTTGCATTTCCTGCGGACAAAATTATTCGCCATTTGTATAGTCTAAAAAAAACGAAGAATGGAGTGGATGTACAAAATAAAAGAGAGAATTCATTATAAACGGCGATCATATTTTTTTCTATGTATAATTGTAATCAGTTTGTGGAATATATTGATCATTCGTAATTATGGAAATACGAACACGAATGATTCGATTTCTATCGAGTCAAATAACACGGTCACGAACTCAGTACAATTCATCCCTGTAAGTGTACAAAATTATTCAAAATTATTCATCTTTTGTTTATCACTCTAATTCGTATCATTCTTGAGCAACTAGTGAACTGAACTACAAAGAAAACTGTTATCATCTTAATAATAATGTGTTACACAATTTGTAATGAAAACTCATAGTTGATGAATATGAACGTATTTCTCTCGCAACACAATCCTATTTTAAAGTACCATGTCAGCCCATTTCCGCAAACGTTTGTACACTTAAGATGATAAAGTTCAAGATTGTATTTGCTTAATCCCTACTGACCTATTTGCTTTTCCAAGTGATATTTTGAGATTGTCAGTAATTATCTGTGGAACAACAGTTGCCGCTTTAATAGTATTTAGCTCTAATTCGTCACTTAGATCCAGGTTAATACTGATGCTGATGTGCACAATGAAATTCGAATCTTGTACACTTACATTCAGATTCCAGTGTAACACACTTCATTCAACGTGTATGTTATTTAGTATCATTTATATGGATTTGGATTTTCTAATGAATACAATTTTTATGTGCATTTGATCAGCTGATGAATCCCGAATGAGAGTGAATCAATCAATGTCGTGAATTCGATTTCTGATCAGCAAGCTTAAGCACTATAGTTGTTTGCAAGCAATGAAACTTGATTTTTAGTATTCTTCCAAAATACTACCTTTATGAATTGTTCAGATGTAATCAGGTAGTTTACAACTCATTAGGTACTCTAAAATTGGTAACAAATTATTCTTCAGCAACTAACGATAATATGAAATTGATTCGATAGAAATAAGTAGTGATTTACTACGATCTTTAATCAAAAATTCTGAATATTGTGTGCTTTTATTCCTTATACATTAGCCAATTTTCTTTCAGCATGCACTTGCTGTTTTGTTGGAATCGAAAATTCAGTAACTCATTTCTTCTCTTTTGACTAATGTAACTGGTTACATTTTCACTTCAATGATTTTATGTTCTGATTGATTTCTAGTGTGTTTATCTAAATACTGATGTAGGGTCGTAGTACCAAAATTTTTTATTCGATTTCTTAGGCATAGCGGTAAGTTGAAACAATCATATTTACAATGTTTTTTATTTATTCATTCATAAAGTGTCCCTTCCTATCAAAAGGGCATCATGAAATCCTTCTCCTAATCAAGCAACTCTTTCATCAGTTGCTAATTCTGTAGAGAGTAAGCCTTAATTCACTTAGTTTTTTAAAATATATTTTCAAATTTGTAAGAGTATCTTATTTGGACAATACAACCTCATAATTTTTTCATTTGATTAGGCTACAGTGTTTCAGGAATACCGTACAATGAGAAGTGATCTTATAGCTAACTGCCTTTTTGAGAATAAGACTAGATTAACTGTGATTCTGATATAGTTATAACTGGGACAAACGTTTTCACAACTTCTCCCCTGCACTACTAAAGCCAATTATATTGACAGTTCCAAAAATGATCTTACCGGTTCGCGAACCTACACTCTTCATAAAAAAGGCGAGAATTAATGCAATGGCGAGTATCCTAATAACAATGTGAGCTCGAGCAATCAAGATTTTGCTGCTACAAACCGAAGTTCGAACGTGGTCACCTTCACATGTGATTCACTTCTGAGCGTTCTGTTTCTAGTTAAATTTATATCGCTGGAAGCACTCACGAAACCTGTAACAGAATTCAAGTGGGAAACGATTTCTTGTATTGTTATTCATGATTTTCGAATCTCTCTGAATCAAAAGTCGTATATGATGTGTGTATGTGTAGAAGTAGTCCGGAGAGTTGCGAGGAGAAATCCCAGTCGTAAACAAAGTAGGAGGTATGTATAATGATTATATAATGTGGTTTCATTCAGAGCTTCATAGATTTACAATTGTCAAGCATTTAAATATTCCAAGGATGTAGATGGATACACGACTGTAATTTATGGGAACGTACACGACAATCACTAATGCAGTTGTTTGGCTTAGCAAAATAGCTCATGAATATAACATGCTGAATTTAACATGCTGTATTATAATAAGCGCTTCATTTTGAGAGCGTATTCAGTTAGACAAATAAAGCTTTTTCCTAGGATGATCTGCCTGGTGATGAACGTCTTTATATTCATGCATGAAAAGAAGGGATTTACAAAAAGTTCAAAAGCCCTGGAGGATGCAATGAGTATAGACTAGATGAAGATAATGAGTTTTGACAGTATTTCTTCACGACAACAGATCAAATGATTATGACAAATCGTTACCTTTCACAAGAATAAATTTTTCTCATTATAATATCTGTAATTAAATATATATAGTTATCACTCCTGAAGACCAATTTACTATGTTCTGCCTAAAGAAAAAGAAGCTTGCGCACGTTAGAAGTATACGAACAATGTTTGGATTTTGACTGACTTAGTCGTGATGTTCATTTGATATCCCAATAATAATAAAAGGAACAAAATAGTTTATACTATCATCGGGTTACAAATGCAATTCTTAAATATTAAGACAATTCTGTGTAAGATTTTTGTCTTATTAGGAAGAAAACAACAGTCATAGTCTCATGATTGTACTTTATAATAAAAAAAGTACTGCAATTTAAGTCATATCCAATTCTCAATCAGAATGATGAATCGATGCCTATGATTAGAAATCTGCATGCACTGGACGGTCGTTCCGTCCTATCAGTTGACTCATTAGCAGTGTGCATCCGCAAATATGTCTTCTCGCTGAAATTGAACGCGGGACCTTCTGCTTTAAGCGCGAAATCTTTAACTCTGGAACATCGGTGTTATTGCCTCATTTCGATCGACTCTTTATCTTGCGCAACGTCATCCACTGTTTCCGGTGAGCACTGCCTTACACCGCAACAGGGTTGAACTTCACTGGTCAAGACGTCTCACTAATATTCGGAGAAGCTTCTCAACGGAGCCGGTCAATAATCAACACAGCATAATTTTCACTACGTATGTTTATATATATATATATATATATATATATATATATATATATATATATATAAACCCCAGTGTTTTGAGAGTTGATTGTTGATAACCTTCAAAAATTATATGTCAGATCGAATCACCGGGTAAAAAATAGTTTGACCGCTTGATGACAGCCAGTATAATAATTATTTAATAAATAACAATTCAAGGTGCATAGAATATTAAAAAAATAATTTAAATGCCTGCATTATATTCATTATACAGATTTAACTTGTCCTTAATCATTCATCTACTGGTTTTGATGTAATTTTCTTATTGTAGGTATGTCCGAAAACAATGTCGAATCCAGGCAAGTTGAGATGATAAAATAATCAATGAAATCTTTCATTTAATTTGTAATAGACTGACTTCTATGTATTTGAGTTATGATTGAAAATGGTCTTTTGTCCTGAGGAAAATAAACATTGACAATTCGGCTCGTACTACTGATAATCTATGTAACAAGGTACAAAGACATAACAGTTGATATATTATCTGTGATACATATATTGTTGAAATTCTGTGCAAACTACCTAAAGGTTATGAAAAAAGTTATTCTTTCGTCTCCATTGACGGTAGTACCATTCGTATTATTGAGTCGTGTAAATTTGCAATGAATTATCATTACATCCTTGTTTATAGCAATGTGATTCATTGAAATAGTGAATCAGTCAATGTTAGATCAGAAGAAGAAAACTTGGAACCACTGGATGTTGGTCGATTCATGATTTTAATGAAATTTTACTGTAAATATTGATGATTTTAATTTATTCCATTACTTTCTCTTGTTTGTACACTTACTCTTTAGCTGGACGTAGAAAAATTATCATAAGAAAAATAACATGGTCTAATTTGGTTCGACTTTATACTACTTCGAAATATGTGTTATTATCATCACTTGTTAAAAGTGGTGTAACGATCATATTCCATAAAAATTTTTTGAAATTTATGATAACTAACGAAGTGTCAGAAAGCGATGTCGGACTATGGTCTCCAACTGATTGTAAACCAGATGAAAAGTTGGCTATTATTGTTCCTTATCGAAAACGGGATGAACATTTACGTGTTTTTGTTAAACATATGCATGAATTTTTAAGAAGACAACGTTTATTGTACACAATATTTGTGATAAATCAAGTAAGACGGAATGATTTTATCTATTGCTTACTATGATTAGCCGGAATATATGCTCTTATCAAGAATATGTTTGCCATTTATTAGGCGGTTGACAGTTTCAGCAAATCAATACGTAGTTTGAACGATTTATAGAATTGTTTCCTAAGTGAAAAATGTAGAGTTAAGACGTTCTCGTGAATATCAGCGCAAAACCATCGATAATAATAATAGTGAATTCTCGTCCTGGTTGTCCGAAGGAAACTCCTTACTTCTGTCATACATTCCTACAGGAGCATATGTTTCAGCCAATATTGCTTCGATTTATATTTTGACCACTAGTGTGTCAAACTGATGCGATTTTCCATGTTGTCCAGTTATGACGAGAGAATGAATGCACCACTCTGTGATCGTCTGCGGATAGAAGAGGTTGAAATTTACAAAACTAATTGCAAATACCATTTATGATAGATGAACAGAGCAAGAGACCTAAAACACTATCTTGTAGTACTTTGTTTTTGGCCTGAACAGAACCCGATGAGGATGAGTTTATTTTGATTCCTTGGTGTTGGGGGTCGAGAACAGAATTACAACAAACAAGCAGACGATTTCTGACCATTAAGTTTTTGTGTTTTCGGTTACATTGAGTAACAACTGAATTGAAAACGTTAAAGTAGTGTGTCATTCAAGATCGATTCCGAAGAAATCCAGTGACAGGTTTGTCAGTCAGTTCGCAGTAAGAAAGCTTGTCACCAACAAAGAATTTATCCCATTATCCAAGAGCTAACTGTAGTTATATATAAACATAGACCGTTAATTCTTCATTTCAGGCTTATCTCCCAATCCATAGCATGGTATGATGCATCAGGTTTTACAAGAGTTAAGTTAAAAACTAGTCTGCAGAGCGAAAGAGACAAAGTAGACAGCTCCTGAAGAAGTATTGGTACATCAGATCCATGAAATTCCTCTTAATCCATGATTGTTTGAAACCTTAGTTTTCAATGCTGCGAATAAAGCAATGCAATTTTAAACGTTTGAAATTTCCAAATCAGTATGCAGTTAGTGGATGATTTGAATTGAACAACCTGAATTCAGAAAATGATGTTTGTATGTTAAACAATGAAAAAGAAGAAATTCGCTTAAACTAGCTGATATAGCAATGTGATATTTCTATAACATGAAAAAACCAATGATTTTGTACCAGTAGATTTCATTGATATTTCACTGACATATAAATAGTCAACTCTTAATGAAATGATTTAGACCTTGAGCACTTCTTCATACCGGTTGTTTTGTGTAATACTTAATTTATATTATTATAGTTGTTGATATATTCTTTACTACAACAATTAATATGGTTCTGTTAAAGAAAATTCTGAATATTTAAATGTTGTGCATAACATGTTAACGGTTTTATGAACATTTTTCAGGAGGGTACAACTACATTCAATCGTGCTTTACTAATGAATGTTGGATTCATTGAATCACATCGAATTACAGATTTCGACTGTTTCATATTTCATGATGTGGACCTATTGCCGGAAGATGACAGAAATATGTACCGATGTTCTGAACAACCAAGACATTTAAGTGTTTCAATAGATCAACTTTCTTATAGGTGGGTATATGATTATTAGAGTATATATTTTGAGTTTATTCATTCTCATTGAATATTCAATGGAATGTGTGATGGATTTATTATTTGAACCACATTTTTGATTACAATTTATTTCATCGCAGCACCATAGACTTGTTGGTTATTGTAAGTAAATGAACATGAACGTTGTGAGTATAAGAGAATATCCAAAATTGACAGAACAACGATTTCGAGATTGATCATATTTCCATTATACGTAATTAAAGAAAATTTTATATAATCAGTTACATTTGCTCACAAGATTCTTAGTTCATTTTATCGATCAAAGTTTAAATACTCCATTACATCAGTTGAGTATATATATTGCATACAACAAGTATGTTACATAGTTGAGTATTAAATCGTCAGATTTCAAATGAACAAATTTAAATGCAACACTCAAACTGGTTGCAAATCATCTACCCGGTTCTGTCAATCAGTCATTCAGTTAGATATAGTCATAAAAACCACAATTTTTGGGAGAAGTATATTGTGGTCGATGAGACGATAGCAAATAAATTACATTGATCGATTCATGCATGGTTTCAAAAATGTGTAACTTAACAATCTTCGCAATACCGTAATGCAAAAGAATTTAAATCATGATAATATCAACGTTAGTTCGAAAAAACAAACATCGAGAATATTTTTTTGAGTTGGCGATTTGAATCTGCCCATTGATTGATCGTTCTCATTTAATATTTGACTTGTGTAATGAGTATCAACTCACGTATGTAGCTGCCAACTCCCGTAATGGACGAAACGCTCATCCTGCATTCCACTGGTATCCACCACCCATCTTTGTTCACAATAAATTGTTTATAAATTGATCCGAAGAAATCTTTCAGCTTGATTATTTCATTTACGGTATCTATGACGAAACTCCAATTATTTTAAACACTAAATGATATAAGTACTTTAAGATAGAACACAATACAAAATATGGTATTTGTCAAACACTGTAGAAACGATCTCTCGATTTTCTGTTGATTTTCCATCTAACCTCCGATCATAATTTTTTAACAACCTATTTTATTTCGAGGCTGCCTTATAAGGAAATTTTCGGAGGTGCAGTCGCAATCAGTCGTCAACAATTTGAGAAGGTCGGTGGTTACTCGAATTCGTTCTATGGATGGGGAGGTGAAGATGATGATTTTTATAAAAGAATGATCCATTACAATTATAGTGTTGTGCGCTATCCGATGGAAATTGCTCGTTACATCATGTTGAAACACGGAAAAGATTTAGGAAATGAAGACAATCCAATACGGTAACTGGATTTGTACTTCGTTTGTAGTATTCTATCTTATCATGAGTTATTTTACAAACAAGTCAACTGAGAATTTACAAGCAGTACGTAAATTCCATGTTCACATATGAACTGTTATGTGAAACGGTGAAAAAGTTAACGCTAACTGGGTTTCATACTTGAGATTATTCGTTTCATGATAGATCTAGTGATAGACTAATAACGTATGAACACTCAGCAAACTTGTTCAAAAAATGTTTCCGAGTTTACGATTGTTGGATTTCTGATAAGAGTTGACTGCGAGACAATAATTACAACTGCATACAAAATTGAGTCAATGATGTAACAGTTTCTTGTTCTTTCCTACAGTTTCACTGCACACTTATGAATATATTCTCACACAAATAAGTAACATCAGACGTAAGAATAAGTGTAAATCAATCATTCAAATGTGGTTAATTACGAGATAGATTTCGTGATATTGTTATGAAAAGATACATCTGCTGAATCAGCCAAATCGGCAGTGAACTTGTTTTTTTAATTAACAGTCATTGAGTGAGCACTGCGATGTATTACATACTGACTTAAATATGTGAGCTATTTAATTCCGATTCACTGATTTTATAGTAAAGCGTTTGTTTTGTGACTGGAATTACGTTGATTGTTTGGTAGGAATTACTGAGACTCTATTTTATTTTTGTTGACTTGCATAACTAATTACACTTAATAGTAAATCTGAGAACGTAATACTTTAAAACAGTTCCAGAATACTTATATAAAAATATGGAAAACCTAATGAAAGCTTGTATTACTACCGTATAGAAAATAAACTTGACACTAAGGTTATTCAGAATCTTTTTTACTGAATAAAATACCGGTTAATATTTGAAGTTCAATATAGAATCGTTTGAGCTGAAGAACGGTGTCGGGCGAGTTTTCATTTCATTTTATACTGATGATCGACTGGAGAAGACGTGAAGACGTCAACATCTGAAGGGGAGCACGGGATACAGTCGACAGGTAGGATGAAGCTAGATGATCCAGACTTTGCAGATCATCTGTATCTCCTATCGCACACGCGACAACAAATGCAGGATAAGACGTTCTGTGTTGCAGCACCATCCTCAGCAGAAGTAGGTCTCAGCATACACAAGTGGGAAAGCAAGATTCTTACTACATGTGCAAACCAAACGACACTTGATGAAGATACCTCGGAGGATATAAAAACATTTACATATTCGAGGAGCACCATCGATGAGCAAGATCCATCTGATGCAGATGTGAAGGCGAGGGTCGGCAGAGCAAGGGGTGCATTTCTACATCTGAAGATCATCTGCAGTTCCAAACAGCTATCAAAAAGCGCTAAAGTCGGGAAATTCAATACAAATGTCAAGACGATTCTACTGTATGGGACGGAAAGCTAATAAACCATCAAAGCCATCATCCAGAAAATACAATTATCTACTAACAGTTGTCTACTTAAAATACTTCGGATTCCTTGGCAAGACATCAATCATCAGCATTAACCTTCTGTGCGAAAGAACAAACCAGATTCCAGTAGAAGAAGAAATCAGAAGTAAACGGTGTAAGTGAATAGCACAAACATTGTGCAAATCACCCAACTGTTTCACGAGTGAAGCCCTCCCTCATTTGGAACCCTGAAATTCAAAGGAAAAGAGGGAAACCAAGAAACACACTACGTCGAGTAATTGAGAAAGACATGAAACTGGACAGAACTGGATAGGGAAGCCTAGATCAGAGTAGGCTGAAGAAAATTGGCGGCTTATGCTCTATTGCAGGAAAGAGGAATAAGTAAGTAAAAAATTATCAGATATTTTGTTCCTGTACTTGATCGTGCTTCTGCCGATGACTTCAGTTGATAGTTTTTCTAATCTGATTTTTATAAGGGTTGCTTATAAACGGAATAAAGATTGTAAGACATGGGTTTTGTACGTCATTTAGACGTCTGTTTGACTGAAACTGGATTAATCAAATTAGTTCTTGCTTGTTATATCAAATGAAAAGAAAATGTATCTTCGTTTGTGAGTTATATCTAAAGGTGATTCCTTGAGCTCTTGCTTCGAGATTTTTAAAGGTGGTAGAACCTAAATCGGTTAATGCTTTCAGTATTACCTAATAATCACCATAAACATCCTATACTCATTACTCAGTATGTGTCTGTGACAAACAACTTGATACTATATTAAAAGGTAATTAGTTCTGTAAATCTGAACAATACACAACTTCGTTTTTTTATTTCATTCAAATAATTTTAATCATTGTACATCAACATCTTGAAAAGTTTATCGATCACAGTGAACTGAGATCTGCTGATGAAAAATCTAATTTTGATATACCTTTCATTACTGAAAGAACTATTTGACTTTCAACGATAAGATTAAATTCTATTTTTGATAGGATATCAGACCATTGATTCCTTGACTGTGAGGAACAGTTGTTCAACATAAACCTCACTGTATACAGAATTTCATCCAACATTTATACATATGTATGTATGTATGTATGTATATGTATACATATATGTACGTATATAGGTATATATTTAATTAAATTTAATGTGTAAAAAGCGTACACTGATTGTTAAACATAACTTGTGCTGCTAGTCAAAGGAGTACGTTCAAGCATCTATTCAGTACACAACTATATTTAGTAGTTCTAGCATGTTGGTTGTACTTTTATCAGTATGTAAATTACACTTGTTATGCTCAGTAATGTAATCAGTGTAAAGTTTAGTTTGTGTGCATAAACGATTTAAAGGAAATCTTCTTGGAATATGCATATCTATTTCGAATTCCTAAAGTCAGAAGAACCCAGAAACTGAACTTTAAAATTGACTGATCACTCAATCAATAATCTATATTTTTATTGTTTCTTTTGAAACTAGCTTTAAATTACTGGAGGATGCTAAATCCCGTTTCCATACAGATGGCTACTGGACCTCAAACTACACAGTTGTAGAGGCACAATCATTACATAACGGTCTCATTTATTGGATATCTGTTACAGTTTAAATTTATTATTAATTAAAATAGCGAAACAAAAAGAACAACATTGCAAGGTAGATATAGACGATAAATTACTAAATATAGAAAATTTGGTAAACGTATAACAATTTCTTTGAAAATATGCTGCAATAGTATCACATATATATCAAACTGAACTAAAGACAGAGATACATAATATCTGCATTTTCACTAGAGTATATTTCTTCTATTTCCACCATCACGCCACAATCTCTGTCACCTACTTCCTTCACATATACCACCGAAAGCTAACGACCTGAATTCATCAAATCCTTATCATGGTCTCCTGAAATTGATCTTCAGATAAGCATTTTGAAGATTTCGAAATCCTAACCGTACTTTCAATCATAAAACATGCATTACTAACTCAGACACCGGAATCTCGTCTCACCTGTGTACGTTTAATATTTGTGACACACATACAGGACCGCATCACGGGCATCCGGTTGACCTCACTTAGCTGCATGGAGAGCTAATGCAATATTTTCTTGGTGTGTCTGGACACGCGACATCAAATTCTCATGGTCTTGTCTAGAACAATGTCTGGAATCAATATAGGCATATATCGACTGCATTTCTATCGTCAGCTGCTCATGTGCTGTCCGTCCTGTTACAACACAAAATGTGATCGATAAATAACATCGATAGAAATAACATGAGCGTTCACAAATATCTTATCGAGAGAAAGTGCGAACTATTTAGATAACT